GGTTATTGTAACTGTTAAAATTACAGGTTATTGTAACTGTTAAAATTACAGGTTATTGTAACTGTTAAAATTACAGGTTATTGTAACTGTTAAAATTACAGGTTATTGTAACTGTTAAAATTACAGGTTATTGTAACTGTTAAAATTACAGGTTATTGTAACTGTTAAAATTACAGGTTATTGTAACTGTTAAAATTACAGGTTATTGTAACTGTTAAAATTACAGGTTATTGTAACTGTTAAAATTACAGGTTATTGTAACTGTTAAAATTACAGGTTATTGTAACTGTTAAAATTACAGGTTATTGTAACTGTTAAAATTACAGGTTATTGTAACTGTTAAAATTACAGGTTATTGTAACTGTTAAAATTACAGGTTATTGTAACTGTTAAAATTACAGGTTATTGTAACTGTTAAAATTACAGGTTATTGTAACTGTTAAAATTACAGGTTATTGTAACTGTTAAAATTACAGGTTATTGTAACTGTTAAAATTACAGGTTATTGTAACTGTTAAAATTACAGGTTATTGTAACTGTTAAAATTACAGGTTATTGTAACTGTTAAAATTACAGGTTATTGTAACTGTTAAAATTACAGGTTATTGTAACTGTTAAAATTACAGGTTATTGTAACTGTTAAAATTACAGGTTATTGTAACTGTTAAAATTACAGGTTATTGTAACTGTTAAAATTACAGGTTATTGTAACTGTTAAAATTACAGGTTATTGTAACTGTTAAAATTACAGGTTATTGTAACTGTTAAAATTACAGGTTATTGTAACTGTTAAAATTACAGGTTATTGTAACTGTTAAAATTACAGGTTATTGTAACTGTTAAAATTACAGGTTATTGTAACTGTTAAAATTACAGGTTATTGTAACTGTTAAAATTACAGGTTATTGTAACTGTTAAAATTACAGGTTATTGTAACTGTTAAAATTACAGGTTATTGTAACTGTTAAAATTACAGGTTATTGTAACTGTTAAAATTACAGGTTATTGTAACTGTTAAAATTACAGGTTATTGTAACTGTTAAAATTACAGTTTATTGTAATTCTTTGGAGCTAGATGATCCAGCTCCAAGAATGTATTTGTTTCTGAATTTGTTACAGTAAATTGATATTGAACATTGCTGAAAATTTTCACTAATCAAAAGAATTGTTTTTCAGAGAAAATGATTCAAGAATTATTTCAGTATCAATAAGGTAGAAAAAGGTCAGATTTTTGAATGATGGAAAAGTTGGGGAGGTTTTTTTCACAAAAAAATGATTTCTGGAACTCTTTTTACACCTCAACAGTACTCCAGATCCTAATTTTCTTAAGCAATCTGATAATACCTTATTTTAGCATAAGTAGCATGAGTATTTGCATTATACCTAGCTTGTGAGTGCATAGCTAGATGTGAAGGTGACTGACTCTCACTCAGATGGCCCCAGTTTGAAACCCAGGAGCATCATCAGGACAGCAGATTCAAAGCAAAGGAACAGCAACAGGAAAGAATATTGTGAACAGAAAGCACACAAAGATGAAGTAAAGAAGAAAGAGAAAAGAGTATAACACAAAGAAGGCAAAATAAAGAAGTAAACAGCAGCAGTTGAATGGGAATTTTTTTCTTTTTTCTATTGCTTTTCAGACCTGGGGGGATGCTTTTATTGGGGAAGTTCCCCCAAACTTTGCTGGCTTGTGTTCAAAACCCATTCTGACATGCATTGGCCAACATTTGGGGGAGCTTCCCCAATGTTTTCCAGAATGGGTTCCCAACACAAGCCAGCATGCCTTGGCCAACGTTTGGGGGAATGCCTGCTCTCAGATGTTGGGCAGTGACCAAACGGCCATTAGCCTAATGTTTGGGTCCCAATGACTTTCCAATGGGGCTGCAACTCAGGTTGAAATGGCCAAATTATTTGCTGCTGGGCAGGGTTCCTCCAGAATATATCATCAGCACCTTTTTACTGAACTTTTTTTTTTTCGTAGGATGATGAGCACAAAATGGGATTCCAGATAATCCCGAAAAAGGCGACGAAAATATAAAACGAACATTCATGTAATCTCTTCCACTATACAGTACACTGGCTATGCCTGAGAAAAATAATCAGGTAATATATGCGAAAACTACTTCACCAAGGGTACTTGGAACTGGTGCAGGAAATCAAGCCAGTATACTGAAATATATTGCTTTGAAAAAGTTTCCTTCTTCGTTGCAATAATTCCCATCTACTCATGTATCGACGCACCTTAATTTAACTTATTATTTCCTGTTTCATGTCAACAGCGGGGTCGGTAATTTATTTGAGCACTCAAGAATTCGTAGAACTCACACAAATAAGCCGGAAGATGTTCTGATAATAAGTCTCCAAGGGTATCACATAACTGTGTACGCTTTCCATTTCCGACGTTTTCGTCTCGGCGTCATAAACACCAGAAATTCCGTCATTAATTAAAGGAAGGTTGAATAATGCGAGGGACTCTGTTTGAGTTGTATGATACCAACACGAATATAAGCCTCTTTGGTGAAGCAAATAATATACTGATTGAATTTATTAAACATTTCAGCAATATTTTCTAATAATCGATGAAAAATTCTCACGGGGAATGCAAATTTCAAACGTGACATCAGAGTATATTCTCGGGTGATAAAAAAGGATTTATTCAATAGCAGTGGCTGCATGGAATCCTGAAAAAAACGGAAAATGAAATCATCCTTCATATAAAAAGGGAAGCTATTTTGTGGGTACTTTTTTCATTTTTCTTTATTCTCGGATGATAAAAAAGCATTAACTGTACTCACTAAGTTACCAGCAGTATAGGCTAGAATCCTAAATAAAACTGAAAATCATATCATCTTGTCTATTAAAAAGCCAGCTATTTTCAAGTGGCAAATTCAATAATTTTGAAAATTTTAAAATAGGGTAAATTTGTCATTGGATTAAAATCTGATAATTTTTGAATAGGAAATCAGGTAATTTATGAGTTGATCGCCCGTTAATTTCCAAATAGAAATCGGATAAATTTTGCATATAGAACATCTTTTACTTATTGTGACCTTTATGTAAATCCATAAAATGACAAAAAGACGAATGATTTTGACTTGCTACCCGAAAATAATCAACAGCTCTCATCCAGAAGGAACACCTATTACATTGGAGGCCAACACTATGAACACAGGTATGCCAGAACAATGAAGGAAACGACCATGAAATATTCTCGCTTTTGCCCCTCTGTCACTTATATAGTAGAAAAAGAGCTTCCTGCTTCACACCATATCTTCGGAAGTCAAGTATAAAACCAGTGACACAAACATGGTTCTATATCAGTTGGTCAAAGACTGCCATTTGAGTTAGTTCTCGAAACGGCTCGTGTCAATATCGTCGCACGGTTCTTCCGAGAGAATTTTTTTTTTTTCAAAACACTTGAACTGCGTAGTAAAGCAATAAAAAATAGGCTTCTATTTTTTAAACCGAGGGTGAACTAGAAAAAATGAGTGTTAACAATGCTTATGCCGTGGCTGTGCTTTTTTTTTCGCAGGAATTTTTGGTAGAGCGAGTCTCGAGACAAGTTCGTCAGCAGAAGTCGCTTCGTACTGTGAAAACTTCCACAAATAAACATGCGTTTCGAAAGATATTTTGCCGCTGTCATCTGCTTCGTCCTTGGTAATTTATCATTTTATAAAAATTCCATCATTACCAGAATTAATTGTAGGTCATTTTTTCAAGTTGTAAGAGTACCGCGTACCTCGCGCTATTCCTCAAAATCAGCAACAAATCGTCAATGGAAAATATTTCATCGTCATCCCGATTCAGAGATTCCTATATATCTTTATTCAATTATACATTAGTAATAGAACTGATTTTTTGAAATTAAAATGCTCCACCAAACACTCCGCAGCATCACATTTAAAAGTACGGTACGGTGAATCCAGTCCGCAAAAGTGCGATGCAAAATACGCAAAAAAATATCGGCTCATGAAATAAATCATGGTGCAGGAAAATTAATTGTAGCAAATGATAGATTCACTTTTTCAAGGTAGAATAAGAACGCTTTTATGGCTGTGCTGTTTCATTCAGGCGGCCCAAATTGTCCTGTACAGTAATTCGAATTTTGAAAAGTGAAAATTTTAAATGAACCCTCGCAGTATGCAAATTTCTCTCCGTTGAAGCCTTCTTCAAAAACGGCATGGAAAACTGTGACATTTGCATTTTGTGGTATATAAATCCGATGTATATAGGTGGATTTCATTTACAGTAACCTGCAGGGTCCCGGCATAAAAAACGAATCCGTTCCTAAATGCAATTTGTTATGAGGATTTTCTTTTAATGAAAAAAACGTTGATTCCCTTTAATAAGGTTACTTCGCAAATCACTTGATTTTTTCCAAACACTCACCAATAGACAATTATGAAAAATATTTTTATTATTATTATTATTCAGCGCAGCATTTTGAATTTAAAATTCACAGAAATGCCGGAGTGTATCCTGGAAGGTACTGCTGTACCTTTATTTCCAAGTTACCTTCCATTTTTAGAAAATTGCAAAGTTCTCACGAAAATTCGATACCGTTCATTTAAAGAAATTTTTTGGCCAACGAAATCGTTCATGTGGAACAAACAAACAAGTTGCTTCTGTGTGCAAGTCTCTTACACCCCCCTCCCCCCGAATAATTTTATATTGCAAACTTTTTTGCGGGTCTTTCGTTATGCGGTGACTCTATAATTAGCATTCTCAAGACGAAAACTTTTACTCACATATGCTGATCACTTTGCGTAATGCCTATATTTCCCCATCAAGATGGAGATCTGGTCTGCAGCGGGGATGCTTAAATACTGTATATATAGAAAGCATATACTGTATACAGTAATTGAAAAACTGATCCTACAATTTGCCAAATTTCGCTCAATCGTTTGACTCTTTCACGCGTGATTTTGTTTTTCTTCCAAACGCAGCTGCATTGACTGCCATGGCATCAGCAGAGCCCAGCCCCCAGGGTTTCAGCGTCGGATTCGGTGGGCGACGGGGAGGTGGGCGAGGATTCCGTGGGGGCGGGCCCAGGTTCGTGCCAAATCGGGGATTCCGTGGCGGACGATTCGGAGGACGGGGACCCAGACGGGGTTGAACCCCATCATGCCAGCACTTCTTCCTGTATCTTCATTCGGGCATTAAATTTACATGAAAATTGAATTCAAAACTTATATTGATTAGGAAACCAATGCTTGATTGTTTCAACCTCGTGCGTTCCGCATGTTTAAATACTATTGCAACTATACTATGTTTATAAATTGAGTTTTAAAAATCAATCATTCATACGTTTCTCGGAATGCATTGCAAGACTGTCGTTTCTCTCGTTGCGAGTTGAATATATTTCTGCCATTGTGATGAAAAATTAGCAGGAACTATAAATGGTTTAAACTTTGACGCGATGCCATCACATTTTTTTTCAAGTGTATATATGATGATGCAAGAAAACGAATTGAAAAATGAATGTTGTTCAAGATTTATTTTCACCAAAACTTGGTTATAGCTTGTTCATAGCTTAGGCTGTATTGGAGATTACATATTGAATTGCAGTCAGAATAATAAACATCACTCAAGATATTTCAGTAATTTTGTCAATACTGTTATCTTTTCATACAAAATAAAATTAAACCTTGATAAGTTGAACCTCCCTGAGTCAAATATCCTCCATAAGTTGAATGTGTTTCAAGTCTGTGTCTAAATTCCCTCAAAAACAATGTATTAGAAACCTTCCAAACTTGAAGTCTTTTTCTCTCAAACCTCCTTAAGTCACATTTTCTGCAGTCTTTTAGCTATTATTTTCTTGAAACATGAAAGAGACACAAAGAAAAATGAGTAACTTTATGTGTTTTCAAAGGAAGTGACATACTATTTGGGCAAATGAACCCCAGTTCAGCATACTGGAAACTCCTTTGAAAAGGAATTTCTATAAGGCCCAGAATATCAGCATTTACATTTTCCTGAAATTCTTTCATGTTTCCTGCAAACAATGCTTGTTTCCCTAACTAAAAACCTTCCTAAAAGGAAATCTCTCTAAATTTAAACCTCTTTAAGTCAATTTTTTCCTGTTCCCTTGAAATTTGACTTATAGAGAGGTTCAACTGTAATCAAGATCAATTAATGCCAAGAAAACAATTTTGGAGCTCAGAGTGAATCAATGCCAATGAGAGGGTTTCTGCAAACATCCCCCAGTTCCACCCAGGCTGTGTTTTGAAGAACTTTAGCTAAACTTGAAGCCATTTTCAAGCAATAATAAAAATAAATGCTACTGGCTCAGCAGTTGGCTGGATAGAATTTCACCCAAGACACTCATAATGATCAAGAACAAGTGAGGAGAAGACAATTGTTTCCATTGAACTTGGCACTAAAACCAGGTTTGAGGAGATGCATTTTTCACCAAAGACATCACAAATTTAAGGCAACTGCAACAATTGCAACACGCACATAAACCTTGCATTCAAAAGAAATCCCTCCACGTCATAAAGTTTTCAATTTTGGTAACCAACTAACCACACACAATATGAATTCAATTTTTCATATTTTTGGAGTTATGCTATATTTATTTACGCAATAAATACCACATGCACCTTTGTCCAGAAATTGAGGTAAAACAAGGGGCGTGAGGGGTTTCCAGCCGTGTTGGTGAAACTTACCACTTTCTAACTTGCTGCACACCCAACCTGCCGCAAGCAGTTGAACTTGCTGCTGTCACAACTAGCCACAGTATGTTAACTTGCCACTGTCACAACCTGCTGCAGTGTTAATTTGCTGCGGTGATAAGTCACCACAGGTGGAAGTTGCCGCTGCAACAACTCACGACTGTAATGACTTGCTGCTATCACAATTTGCTAAATGAATTGCAGCCACTTGCCATTTCCTTGTCTAAAATTTCAGGAAAAAAGGAATTATCACATTCTTCCACTTCTTAACTAGGCATTCTGCTGTTTGAAAATTTTTAGAATATATAGAGGGGGTTTCAATGAATTCCTTCATCCTGAACTAGTACTATTGGTGACTAAATGATGTGCATTTTATTTTTGATGGTAAGGTTTTTTCCATATTATTGTATTGTACATTTTTTTCAATTGAAAGCATGTTCTGCTGTGAATTAAGTTTTAAAAAGTTCTAGAACTGTCTGAATTAATCTTCAAGTACAGCATGTTGAAAGAGTGGTAACTTATAACTACTGCAAGTTGTGACCCTGTGGTGAGAAATGATTGCGGCAACTTGTGACTGCGGTCACTTCAGGCTGCATTCAGTTGCAGCAGCAGCAAGTTAGGGTGTGGCAAGTTGAAGTGCAGCAAGTTCAACTGCGGCAAATTTCACCCACACCATTTCCAGCAGTTAAGAATTGTTGGAGGGAAAATCAGGGAAACCACTGGTAACCAACTATAACCTAATATGCATCACATGCAAGTCCTTTGGTCAATATAAAAGATGAAATGAATGACACCTAGTATCCTTATACATGAGAAATGATGGTCAAAGAAATGCTCATGTCAGTTTGAGACTCAGCTGGAAAGGAAAATATTCATTCAACTGAGAAAGCCACAATTAAAAGGAAAGCACTATATCAGTTTAATTTCTCCTGTAGACAATATTGAACAGGAAGGAAGTATTATTCATGTTCAAGAAAAAAGGAATGAATCCAAGCAACAGGATAAAGGCTCAAGTTTTCAAAATTTCTTGTCTTCAGCAAGAAAATATTGAGTGTGAATCTTACACCGGGATTAGTTTTTGAACAAATTTATTTAAAAAAAACTGAGGTGCAAGTCTTATCCAAACGCAGGAAATACTCAATTAAGTATCATTTATGGCTTTATTGAGTACATTTCCCAAAAATGCTATTTTAAAATAAGACGCTGCAAAAGTTCAAAATGTCTTTAACTGCTGAAACTTTTGATAAACCGTATTTACTTGAGTACCATGTGCCCTCGAGTTAGGCATGCAGAGGGGTTTTTTGGTTGGAAATTTGACTAAAATCTTATACCTGAGTAAGACACGCACCCCAATTTTTAAGTGAATCTAAAACTACAAAATTTTGAAAATGAATTCAAAAAATTTGACTTCAGACATGAATTGAACAAACATTGGATCAATTTTCAACTTTATCAGTACAAAAAAGTTTTCTTGTTACATTTGTTCTAAATTTCTCAATTATAATTAAGAATAATGCACACATAACTTCCTAAAACTTCTTGAAAAATTTGTACCCGCTTACGACACGCACCCCTTTTTTTCTTCTGAAATTTGAGAAAAAAGGTGCACATGGTTTTTGAGTAAATACAGTCCTACATAACTTGGGATTAAATTCCAATTTGGTTTACATGTGCATTAATGCTTGTTGAACTTGCATTTTGTCTTGCAAATCTATCAATCTTATCGATTTTCATACAACAACAAAAATGTAAGTGAAGCTCGATTAGATTAGTTCATCAAGTTTCTGTGAATCAATTTTGCAAACTTTTGACAACACGGAACTCTCAACATCCCTTTTTCTCAAACCTTGTAAACTCTCCCAGTCAAATATGTTCATGTTTTTCTCCAAATTTGACTCGGAGAAATTCCTCATCAACAATACATCAAGTGAACCTCCCTGCACTGACATTGAGGCATAAAGCTTGATCACGAGGGTCGCCCCAGCCACCGTTGCCCCTGGGCACCGCCTGCACAACCTTCAATGGGATGAATTCGAGCGATGTAGGGAACAGATTCGCATACTCCTGAACAGTGTCATTCACTGCCTTCAACGTTGGTCCTGCATCGCAAGACGCTGACTCATGGTGGAATCCGCTGACAATTCAAAATGGACCCGAAAATGCGTTAACATTTTTTGATGAGCAAATGCAATAATTTCCCTCAAGATCATCAAGACCAAATATACTGATGCTCTGCTGAGGTGAATAAATTACATTTCCACTAGAATAGGAGGAACTGGAAATATTTTTTCAAGTACCACGCAAATAATAAGACACAGACTACGATTTTTCAATAAAAAATTGTTGATAAAATTGTATCATCAAGTAAAACGCGCACCCCATTTTTAAGATCTCTATAAAACTGCAATACAGTATTTCAAAATAAAGAACACGCACATTGAATTTAGACATGAATTGAAGATATAATTTCCAATTGTCTCCAATATTGTAAGAATTTTTCTGTTAAAATCGGTGCAAAATAACCCACTAATAATCAAATTATAATTCACAAATAAATTTCTACAATGCTAAGAAAAATGTATGCCTTCCTATATATGCTGAAACGCACTCCCTTTTTTCCGCTAAAATTTAAATAAAAATGTGCATGAGGTACTCAAGTAAATATGGCCCATTCAACATTAATTATTTTAAAATTTGTGAAAACAGCTGGTATTTGGGTTGCTTTGTCAATACAGTGAACAATGTGAAATTCTGTATAGAAATTAAAAGTGTTATTACCGGTTCAAGAATTAATAAACTGGGTGCAAAATAGTTCTAAATAGCGCATGCGAAGACAAATAAGCACGCAAAGATATTGCCAATAATATATAACAGGTCATGATATTGTTCCAAAAGCAGATGCCAAATCTGAATTGAGTTTCTCTTGGGAAATGTGACACGGAAATCATTAATTCCAAAAAGAATTGATAAACCGGGTGCAACATACAGTACAGTGGCCTAACAGACCTCCCGTGTAAGGGATTTTTGCCAAACAGAACAGCTCTGCAAGCAGTTTTTCCTCCTGCCCAACAGACAAAATCCACCAAACAGACTTCTTCTGGTTTGAAATTAGTGTTGAAAATTGAAATTTTTAATTTTTTATGTAATTGANAACAGACTTCTTTTGGTTTAAAATTAGTGTTGAAAATTGAAATTTTTAATTTTTTATTAATTGAATTCTTGTAAAGGACTTTTCGTCTAACAGACTTGTCCCTTGCACAAATCAAGTCCGTTAGACGGGGGTTGACTGTACTGTACTTTCAAATCGCGCACGTAGAAACTGAAGGCGAAGATATAATTACCATATTCCGATGTGGAAAACGCGGGAAGACTTGAGAGTGAGGGTGACGAGTTTCGGTTTTATGCAGGTCAGTGAAATGTATTTGAGTGTCCAGTCCCAGTTGTAGTCATCAAAGAAACAGAACTGTTTTGCGCAAGCTTTCGTCAATTTCCATGCATCTCGACCGAAAGCCAGCCCAGTATTGTATCGCCAATCCGATATTTCCACCTTTCCTCCACCCGATATGCACGAATAAAGAGCATCATTGAGACTAGGTAGAATGTAAACGCACGAAAACTATGAATCTCCAATAGATAAAAGCTAAAACTCATGCGAGCCTATAATAGATACCAGACAGGTTGTATACCCGAGGGTTGGTTCATAAGCTTTCGGACTTTTTTTTTTTCAATAAATCCAACGGAGTTCAGTGACTTTTGGCTGTTCTGGGCAGTGATGAACGATCCTTCAACCCATTGCCCTTGCTTTTGGTGGGTCAGGGGGCCTTCCAATTATATGGAAGATAAGAAGTGAACGAAAGAAAATTGAAACATATACAGTATGATGACATTTTTAAAATGTTTTAAAACTCTTCAATTGCATTATTTTAGATTTCAGCTGAAGAAACCAAACGAATTGATACCAAATAACACATATGACTTTAATTCACATTATTATTCACATTATTTTTAGTCGCATTTGAGGTCTGGGTAATCTGTACTGTCTTAACATTCAAGTACAGGGAATTTCACAGAGATGAAATACTGTACATTGCAGTACATTGTGTCACAGCCTTTGCAAAGAAAATTTTACAGCCTAGGACAACGAGTGAATGCTTGCATTTTGCGCAATGTGGTGTGGGCTGTGCAACATTGCGCCACAGAAAATACGTGGTGCCACTGTACAGATTGTACAGCCATTTCAAGGCTTTTTTGTGCTTGCATTTTTGTGGCTCAGTTTGTAAAATGTTGTACAGTATTGGACAGCTGTACTTGGTCAGAATTTATCCACTTTCCAAAGATTTTAAAATCATATGTGTTTGGTATCAATCTGTTTGGTTTCCTCAGCAGAAANTGACGAGTTTCGGTTTTATGCAGGTCAGTGAAATGTATTTGAGTGTCCAGTCCCAGTTGTAGTCATCAAAGAAACAGAACTGTTTTGCGCAAGCTTTCGTCAATTTCCATGCATCTGGACCGAAAGCCAGCCCAGTATTGTATCGCCAATCCGATATTTCCACCTTTCCTCCACCCGATATGCACGAATAAAGAGCATCATTGAGACTAGGTAGAATGTAAACGCACGAAAACTATGAATCTCCAATAGATAAAAGCTAAAACTCATGCGAGCCTATAATAGATACCAGACAGGTTGTATACCCGGGGGTTGGTTCAGAAGCTTCCGGACTTTTTTTTTTTAATAAATCCAACGGAGTTCAGTGAATTTTGGCTGTTCTGGGCAGTGATGAACGATCCTTCAACCCATTGCCCTTGCTTTTGGTGGGTCAGGGGGCCTTCCAATTATATGGAAGATTAGAAGTGAACGAAAGAAAATTGAAACATATACAGTATGATGACATTTTTAAAATATTTTAAAACTCTTCAATTGCATTATTTTAGATTTCAGCTGAAGAAACCAAACGAATTGATACCAAATAACACACATGACTTTAATTCACATTATTTTTAGTCGCATTCGAGGTCTGGGTAATCTGTACTGTCTTAACATTCAAGTACAGGGAATTTCACAGAGATGAAATACTGTCCATTGTAGTACATTATGTCACAGCCTGTGCAAAGAAAATTTTACAGCCTAGGACAGCGAATGAATGCTTGCATTTTTCCGCAATGTGGTGTGGGCTGTGCAACATTGCGCCACAGAAAATACGTGGTGCCACTGTACAGATTGTACAGCCATTTCATGGCTTTTTTGTGCTTGCATTCTTGTGGCTCAGTTTGTAAAATGTTGTACAGTATTGGACAGCTGTACTTGGTCAGAATTTATCCACTTTCCAAAGATTTTAAAATCATATGTGTTTGGTATCAATCTGTTTGGTTTCCTCAGCAGAAATCTAAAATAACACAATTGAAAACTTGAAAAAGTTGTTAAAATGTTACATATTTTTCAACTTTTTTTTGTTTCCCTTCCCATCTTCTATGCAGTTGGAAGATCCCTGACTCACAAAAAGCAGGGACAATGTGTTGGAAAGGGTCAACCAACAGAGAAAATGAATTTAATTGGGGCTGAGGATTTGGAAGCCAATTTGTTGTTGGAGCCATTGTCCTAGTACCCTTCAAAGAAAACTGCAGGTTTTTTTCCCTTTTATAAACACCATGACGTTGTTTCACATACTACCAATTTGTCCAGTTATATTGGTAAGGTAAACTTCATGTTATGGTTAAAAAAACTTTCCTTGTTCTTGTTTCTTTTTTTTTGGGGGGGGGGGGGGGACAAGACTCTTCTGTTTGTTAGTGCATAGCTAAATGTCAAGGTGACTGACTTTCAAGCAGAAGGCCCCAGTTCAAACCCCAGGAGCATGAACAGGACAACAGATTCAAAGCAAGGAAATCTTCAGCAGCAAAGAATATTGTAGTCAAAAGAATAAAGATGGATTGAAGAAGAAGGGAGGAAAGAATACAGAACAAAAAAGGCAAAATAAGGAAGTAAATAGCAGCAGCTGAATGGGGATTTTTTTTACTGCTGTCAGACGTTGAAGCAACACATTTGCATTGCCTTGGGAATGGCATTTTGGCAATGGCAATTCAATAGCAAGCAATATACAGTACAGTATTGCCTTATTTACTATAGATGTTGCTATGGGATATTGGCAATGCAATCTCAATGCATTGACAATGTCCCATCCAATGCTGGGACATTGGAGGGTGACCAAAATTATGTTGCTCAACATTTCAGGGCCAATGCCATGCCAATGCCTTGGCAATGCAATTTTCAATGCCAGAATTATTTGCTGGGAATTTATCCAAATTTTTCAAAGACTTCACTATTGACCAGGTTAAAAATTGGATATACTTTTTGGTGGTCAATTCTTGAATTGAGCATCATCTGCAAGGAAGATTGAATTTTGTATGATGTCAAAACACTTTTTATTCAAAAAATCAAAGAGCAAAAATTGAAAAACTTCAAACTGTATGCTGTTAACCAATACTGACCTGATTCCCTCTAAGATTCTGAATTTTGTCAGGGTTCCCCAAATTAATCACATTACAATCTGGACATTTGGTTTTGCTTTCCTGTTTCAGTAAATGGTGGATGTGTAAGATGTCCTTGGCAATCCAATGATCCTCTTCCAAGAAAATCACATCTCCAGTGAACCCTGTACAGGAAATTGAAAAGAAAATGAAGTTCCTGAGGAAAATGCAATCACATTTTTAAATCATTTCCATGTGATGTAGAATTCAAGCAGTTTGAATGGGAAATGCAACGTATATGCCATACAAGTTAATAACCAGGCATCAAATAAGTTTGGCATTGGAAGGCTTTGCTGTTTATGTTATTTTCACAACTGTTGTGGACTTAGCTCAGTGCTCCCCTCCTTCAATCAATAAAAACAGTATAAATAAAAAGCTAATTGGTTGGAAAACCACCCAAGTAGAAACACAAGACAAAAAACTGGCAATGTTTTCCTCCCTCCCCAAAAAATTTGAGTGCCTTTGCACCAAGACATCTTTGACAAAACTGTTCGCTGACTGATCCCAGGCCTTCAAGATTGTCTCATCCTTGATCAAGGCATTTAATCAATGACTAGACAACAAAATCAATAAAATCCATTCTCCCTTATCATTTTTAATATCAGTCCCTTTTTGAGCTGTCATTGGGGCAAAGCATTGTCAACGCTATCTGAGAGTTATACATTGTTAATGGATTGTATCTTGAGATTCTATTGTGTAAATTCATGAAATGATCTCTCATAAAATTGGAGAATCTCAAGATATATCATAATTTTAACTTAGGGATTCCACCAAGAATCTCCATCCCCTGTCCCAGGCTGATTTTGTGTTTCCTTTATCAACCCGTTTGATCCACAGCAATTTTTTCTTCTCTTGTGTTGTGGTGGCCTTTGCCCCCAAACAAATACAGTAAAATCTCATTAGAACACAGCATTTAACTGTATTGGGGTATTAAAACAGCTTTATTTTGAGGAGGAATTTATAAAAAATGAAACTAAAATTATTTTGTGGCTATTGGGCAGGGACCAAAACAAAAAATGGTCATATCAGCAATAATTTGCTATAACCAGGTTGTTTTTCAAGAGATGATATCACATTGGGTGCAGTGGTTAATTCTGTTGAGTTACAAAAATTTCCATAAAAGACCCAACACCCTCATCACTGTATAAGCCCAACATGGACAAATGAGCTATGATGAGCTCATAAATACTTACACCTGCTGACCTGCATGATGACAAAATATATGACAGTTCAGACTCTGCATTATCTCAACTAATAGATGCTGTCTAGATACCAATGCTTATGAAGTGATCACTATGAAAATGCCCAATCCTGACTCTTTGTTGCACTTGGGACCAAATAAAGTTACCCAACCCATTGCACATAATGCCTAAATAATCAGGCATCTTTATAGTAGAATGAAAACATCCTCCTACTGGACTGGGACTTTTGATGGAGTCCTGGGGAATTGGACCAAGAAGCCATAAATGCTTCAATGACTAGTTGGAAAGCATAGTTTTACCATTGCCCTGATTACATTAGCTGTGTAAAAGGGGACAATGTGCCAGAAGTACCATGAAACAACAAAAGTGCCAACTAACCTGCTAATGCCTTCAAACCTCCTTCAAACAAATAATTTGCTTTCCACCACCAATGCTGCTTCAGTTGGGACGAATTTCCTATGCGATAATGGCCATATTGGTCAGGCTTACCAGCGTTTATGCAGCCCATTTTTTCAGCCCTGACAAGTGAGAATTGAAATGAAATGGTTCAAGTTGAGAAACACCTTATTCCGTACGGCTCAGTTCTCTCGATTTCAGAATTTTCTTTCTATCACGTGGGAATTCCGCTTGACAATCCCTAATATTCTTGCAATTTTTCACGTGGCAAGCACAATGCAAAGATTTGGTTCAGATTTTTCGCTTCGAGCATTATCGGATATTCTCCCGAATACTGCAATTGAGTGCACTTCGATCTTCGCTGCGAAAAGATACTCGTGCGAGTATTTGCCTGCCTCATTATGGAAGAATGTACAATACGGTGCTCGCATTCGTTCCACTGGTGGTCAGGAATATCAAGAGAAAAATCTCCAACTGATTATTTACTAGAATTGATAGCAAAAAAAAATTAGTTGCCTGCCTATAGCTTGAAAACCGAACATTTTCCAATAAGTTCACAATCACGACACCTTTCCGCCAGTTAGTTTTTCAATCGTTTAGTCCTCATCCACCATTAAAATCTCTGGTTGAATCAATTACGCATTGATCATGAATGAATTTGTATCAACACAAATAAGATTATATTGTATAAGAGGAATAAACACATTATTTAATGAACTTGTATATATAGGGCCCTATTGTAAGACTCATAATATTGAAAATTCGTTGAAGAAAAACTGAAATTCCTGCTTTTCATCATTTTGTATGCTAGCGAATACAGAAAAAAGTTGCCATCGATGATCGAGGTCATCACTTCCATGCAGCAAACTTTGTGGAATTCATAATTGTCGGATATCGGTTCAAGGAATTTTATCTGCATGATGCATAAGAAATTTTTTTTCAGTGAAGTTTGGAGTGGAAACGAATAACAACTTTGACCTTGAAAGTATTTTAGCCGGTTCAAAACAGATGTTCGAGGCATTTTCGAGAAGATAACTTGGATTGAACAGCAAAGTTTGGTTTCTTCCTGGCTCGATTATTTGAAGTTTCTTGTAGATTATTCCGGTATTTTTGGAGCACTGGATCGTTCCATAATTTACTGGCATACAGACAAACATATTAAAATCGACTTTAGAGGAACTTTGAAAATATTTTACTTGCTGAAAGTTTCCGGGTAAGGAAACCCAGCCCTTTTGTTTGGCAAAATTGAGATTTACTTGAAAGGAAAATCTAAGATCTTCTGGGCCTCAAACTCTTAAAAATTGATGGATATGATGCAGAACTTAGTTTTGGAAGCAAGGGTACATTTGCCTAATCATTCACTCACTTCATTTATAAATAAAGCTTCAGGTTAAATTTTCATAGTTCCGGTACATATCACCAGAAAAATCGTCCTCAGAGGCTTCCAGAAACTTCAAATCAGCAGAAGGGGTTTGAGGGGAAATCTTGAAGCTATAATGTATTATGGAGCTCTTTATAACATTACTCTTCTGGGAATTTCGACAGGGACTTGAAAAAATAATTCGACGATTACTGGACACAGCATACAGTAACTCACGCACAGCACAGTAACAACTGGCAAAGGACAGGAACTTGAATCATTTATTTATTTTTACTAATTTCTTATTTTTTTTATAAATATTTGGGAAATTGATGTGAAAATGTTCACAGTTCCCAGAAAACTGTTCTGGGCAGTCCGCAGGAAATTCTCTGCAGCTTAATGAATTTATCAAAACTAGCAATGAAGTCTGTTACCTTCATCCAAAATTTTGTAAATAAGACAATCACAGAGTTGAAATTATCCCATGAAAAAATAAATGGTGGCTTTTCTCCCAACTGACACTTCAGACAAATTTTTGCATGCTGAAATAATTTATTTTCATTGTTTCATCCCAAGAAACCTTTCTTCAAGTCCACATTTATAATTTTTTGAAGACATTTTTATTTATATAACTGCTTTTTTCATGTTCAATTTTTAAGAAAAAAGGAATAAAAATGTTCAAGCAAAAATTTTTGAGTCTGCAAAAAATGCACTAAACTTTGTTGTTCCTCAGAAAATGTTTTTGGAATTTGCCAGTCTTCAAAATTTTGTTGTTGCAATTTTCACTCCATGGTCCCAAAATGTTTAGGGAACACTGGCCTAGATTATCTTCTGTCCAAGGATAATGTTGATTTTTTTTATCTATTTCTACATTTCATGCCTGACACTTTGCCACCGCATCATAAAGTTACTCCTATCTAATTTCAATAATGTCCCTTTTGTCACACAGGATCATAGTTCTTGAAAAAGCAAATTCTGAGGTTTTCTACATGAGTATTTGAATTCAGAAAATACATGCAAAATTTTCATTGGTGCAAAAACTGATTTAGACTGCTGTTTTACTTGCAAGGAATGATGGGGGTGAGGAGGGGGAGTGATTTGTGTGGTTCACACTCTTTTATTTCACGCGACTTTCTATGGCCTTTATTTGTCAATTCCTGGCCTAAGTTAAGACCTGTTCCAGAACACGTAACTAAAAAGTGCTCATTTGAGACGCCGTCTAAATTTTTTTTTTTCATCAATGAAAAAATGTTGCATGCCTTTTCTGAATGCGTATACACTTGTCGCAGAAACTTCAGATGTTGCCTCAATTCTATACTGAATATCCTATCCGCGAACTTTCAGTGATATAGTTACTCTGAATCTGTCAAATATAGTTCGGTATATGTGCTAGATGTACTGTGCAGTGCAGCAGTATACACTATAATCCGCGTGAACTCACTCAGATTGAGGCAATAGCGATGGACAGTCTCGAGGATCTGTGCCGGGAAACTCATTGGGATACAGTTGGACTGAAAACGGGAAGAAAATTTGCGTGTATCGACAAAAGTCGATCCGGCTGACGAGCTCGTTGATTTCGGCGTCAAAGACATCGTGACTGAAGATGATGAGGGATTTATTGATGCCCTGCACCTGTGCGAGACTCGCCACAGTATGCCGAAGGTACTGAGCTCTGGCGTGTACTTGAATTATAAACACCGCCGTTGAGTCGGCAAAGATACCGAAAATGTCTTCGTTATGGATGACTTGAGCACTGTTTAACAAGTTCACTAAAACACGCAGGTTTTCCACGCTCAATTGCACGGCAGTGAGTCTTGATGATGATGAACCAGTATTGTTTTGGGGGTTGCTTTCGTTTTTAGCGACATCTGTGTTCCGGTTCGGCAATAAAACCTTCTTCAACTCTGACAGGATAATCGGGGAGACGGACTGATGATGGACAAGTCTGTCCAATGTCGCTGCTATTCGTTGCTTTGAGAAACTGCAAGAAAAAAATTTTAATCGAGCATTTTAAAAAACTTGTTCTACCCCGCCAGCTCTGCTTCAACCTATCTAAAGTATTTTTCATTCTCTGGTTCATCCTTCCCTCTAAAACAGGGCTTTTCAACCGGTGGTACGCGTACCCCAGGGGGTACGCGAGTGCTTGCCAAGGGGTACGCGCCCTCTGTCCACTAAAAAAAAAAAAAAGGTTATGGGCCACCTCACTGAGCATGGTCAGCAACAACTTCCCAAAGATGACAACTCGAAATTTTTTAAAATTATTTCTATTCTCATGAAGTTGTAGCTCTGGGAAATGTGATTTATTTTGCCCAGATTGCATTTTGTCAAAAATTATGTGCATTGTATTTTTGGGCTTCTTTTTTCCATTGAAAAAATTGTGCCTGTTTTCTTTTCAGCAGATGAAAAGTTGAACAGTGTCCTTTTCATATTCTGAAGAACATTATTTGAAAACAGTTCTTCAATTTAAAGAAAGGGCAGACATGAATCATCAGCATCATATTTCAGGGAATAATTTAAAAATTGAATAGCACAGTGAGGGATTAATAATTGAAATGTAGAGTTTTTCCTCCTTGTCCATTGCAGAGAAGATGCACAATTGCATTCCCTTTCTTTTAATCCAATATTTTTTTAAAGAAAATTTTCATGTTTGTCAGAAAAAATGGCACACTGTTCAACTGTTGATCTGTTGAGAAGAATGCAATCCCTGTTTTGCAGATATAAAAATTAAGACAAAAATACAATACAATTAGTGTTGGAGTGAGGGGAATGTAAGCAAAACATTACACATTTTCCTATGCCAAATTTAAAATAAATTAAAATGAAAGGTGGGACTTTTTGCCTTTGGCAAGTTGTTGATGAGTGACTTGTGGCCCTCTGTAAGTTGTCAGGGAATCCAAAAATTGCTTGGATGGTGGAAGTAAAATGCCATATACTGCTAATTTGGATGACCTGAACATTGGATAGGTTCCCCACAGTCCCCAATATGGCAGCAAAGGTTCCATCCATCCAAGGGAAAGAGTAGCATGCATACTTATCCCTAGTCTCCCCTTTTAACCCTTCTACAGCAAAGTTGGACCTTTTTTTGCAGATTTTGGCTGCACTCAAGAATGGCATTTAAAAAAACATGACAGAGTGTGCAGGGCAAAGTCAGGAAAAATCCTGGCAGGTTTAAAATTCCCTATAGAAAAATTCAACTTGGAAATGAAAAAAATGGAATCTTCAAGGCACCCTTTTTTCCCCTGGCCTTGTGTTGCTCCCCAATTCAAAGATTAAATTTAAGCTTGAAAGTCAGGAGCCAACCTTAGAGGTTAATATGGAAAAAGTCTAACTTAGGACTTTCCCAGCATTTCTTTATCTCCAGAAAAAATCCACCTCTGCCCTTCCCCACCTGGCAGCTGGGGTTGCATAACCTTGTGCAAAAATGTTAAGCAGTCCCAAGGGGAAAAAGTCCAACTTTGCCCTGGGGTGGAAAGGAGGCTGCCTCCACACAAGGATTAAATTGGACATTTTGAGTAAAAGTGTTGGTTCTTGATAAGCATAGTTCAAAAGTAATGTAAAAAATTCCCAGCAGTTTTTTAAATTCATCTGGGAGGACATTTTTGCAGTTCTGCTGCATTTTTTGGTGCCAATACTATGGACAACATTGTGGTTTGCTTATGTCAATAAGCGTAATCACTGCTGCAGGAAATTCTGTGGCTTGATTTTTTCCTGAATTTCAAGTTTTGTTGGCTGAACCCACTCATTGCCACAACTGTAGTATGGAAATTTTACTGCATTGAAATAATGATTTCCTAATTTAGAAAAGAGGCCTCATTGTTTTCCTTAAAAACACACCTGCAAAAATCCAGAATAAGTAATGCATTAAGGTAAATGGGGATGCAACAGACTGATGATCAAAATTTGTGGACAATCCTTCTGGAAGCCCAAAAGGTTGTCCACAAATTCTGAATATTCCTAATATATGTGCTTTGGTGAAAATTGAAAATTTGTTCTTCAAGCTTGCCATGCAGCTTTCTGGGTAATTCAAAATACACAATTTTTTGCATATGAAAAGAAAACAAATTATATTTTGATGCCAATATTTCAGGTTAGACATTTCTAACTTTGATTTTTGATATTACTTAAAATTCATGGAAATGTTCAGATTTCTCCTGAAATTATGCAATTTCATATTCCAACAAACAGATAATTTTCTTTCAAAATGAATTGTGATTAGTTGTTTTTCTGGATCCAGAATGTCTGAAATTTCTCATCATCAAGAGTATAACCACATTTATTCAAGTAGATGATTATTAATTTAAAAAGTAAGGGATTACATTTGATTTGGAATGAAATGAGAATTTTTAATTAAAATTCCAAAGACATGGTTTATTATAGGATTTACACCTACATATGAACTCACTAGGGGTACATGCCTGTTCCTGAGGATGAAAAGGGGTACACGCCTGAAAAAGGTTGAAAAGCCCTGCTCTAAAACCACCAACCAGGTCATTAAACTGCCAAAATTCTGCTGCACAAACATTGGTGGTTTAACAGAGGGTTAGACTGTAAATATAATGCAAAATTTCTTAAAAAATTATGATAATATATACCCCTAAATGACGCGCACTCCCTTTTTTCCTCTCAAATTTGAGAAAAAAAAAGTTTCTAGTGGTACTTGAGCTAAGATGGTACATAACTTGTAGGACAGTGATTGTAACAGAAGAATTCAAATTCACCTTGGAGAATGCCAATCCCGGCGAACGTGCAGGACAGCACTCATGAACACAAGGAATAATATGCCCAATAATGATAGAGGAAGAAAAATGCGCTTCGAAATTCGGGGCACGAACCACAATAACCGGTACATGGTAGGGGTAATTTGGGTTCCACTGACAGCGGTGAAACCTGTGACAGGAGCAACATAATTTCATCCAAAAAAAAAAAAAAGTCCTGAGCATTTACCAAACATTTATATGGCTCTTGCAAGAAAACACACAGTAGTCTTTGTATGTTTCTTTCTGCACTCATGTGTACTCATGCTTAACCAACAGAATCCTTGGAAAAATCCTCATGTTTATCTGCTGTGGAGTACATGTGAAACTGAACGTCTGCCTTTTATCATGGGGTCAGCAGGAAGCTTCCTGTCTGCCTTGGAATTTGTCTGGATTCCAATTTTATATGTGTTTTCTTGAGTTTTGCTACATTATTTTATTTGTGCTGTACTGCTGTGTGAGCTGAGGACTACCCATTCCTCATCCCTATTTTTTGGCATTTCATGGGCAAGTATAAAATCCCCCATATTTCGGGTCTCCACTAAAAACTTAGTCAACCTTTTTGGGGGTTAAAGACCAATCTAAAAAGGCAATGTCAGACTAGACAAATTGAGACAGACAAGTTTGAGACAGGGACAATGCAGGACAGGGATTATTCAAGACAGGGACAATCAAAGGCAGGGACAATTCAAGACAGGGTGATTTAGAGGCATGTGGAATTGGAAGAGAGGGAAAGTTTGAGGCAGTCCCAAAATCAACTCTGCTCACACAAATGCTTTTTTACACTCAATTTTCTGATTTTTTTCAAGATTCTTGGTGAATCTTGGGATATTTTCAATTCACATGACCTTCTGACCAAATAGTGCAATTTGTGTTCCTTTTCACACCTTCACTATAATATATTTAGAAGAAACACAGGGAAGTCATTTGAAAATACTTCTATATCAAATAGTCTATGTCTCAAAATGTATCTGCATCAAATCACCTCTGTCTCCAAAATTTTCTGTCTTGAGTTGTCCCTGCCTCCAAAAGTTTCTCTCTCAAATTGGCCCTGTCTCAAATTGTCCTAGATCAATTTTTTTGTCCACAGACCAGCAAATTAAAAAAAATCTGTGCTGACCAGCAGGCAATAAGTTTCATAAAATGTTTGCAGACTTGAAAAAGTTTGGTTTGAAAGCCTCTATCACATCCATTAATCTTCATACATGGAAATTTCTGACAATTGCCCCCAAGATTGTTTGTTTTCGGTTATACATGTTTTCTGACAGAAGAAAAACATGTCTGAAGATAAGCCCCTAAGATCTGCCAAAACTTTTCCCCCCAATTTTTGCATTTCTCAAAGCTCTTATATAGGACTTCCAGTTATTTCCTGTTACAGCAATTTTTGTCACAGAAATTGACAGCTGCATTTTCTCTTGTGCCTGCGGACAAGTTTTTTGTTTTTCCTGTTGTGTTCTCCATTTGCTTCTGTTTTTCACAGCATCCTGGGCTGAGTAGCTGTAGTTGGATAAAATCAGGGAGAACTATAGAGGTTTTTTTCAATTTTCAATATTAATTATCTGAAATGAATGCATAAAAACCCCTGTCAAAGACTTTTTAAATCACCAACAAAAATGTCTTTCATTAAAATGCAAAAAATCTGGATTTCCTCCCAGTCAGATTTTGTTTAATCTTTTTGTCATTGCTGGGCACAGTACAGGTGGTGCCCTGCAATTTGACACTAATTGATTGCTGGACTAGGATTGAATTGTAAAGCAGTTGAATTTCAAGACAATACATTGTTTTCTACATCATATTTGACATTTTACATCTCTCTGTGGGTTGCATTTTGGGGCAGAGGTCTAATTGCAAGTCTGCGGGGCAGCAAATTTGACCATCAAATTTTTGGATGGATGAATTGCACAGGGTAGTTGAATTGTGGACCAGGAGATTTTAAACATTATTTCTTCTACTTTCATCAGTATCAGAAACTGTAGGGACCCATTGTTGGGGTGCAAGCTTGTTCTGTATATGAAAGGAATATCTTTGATATTTTTGAAATATGTAGATGATGACTGATGAAACTGGAGGCGTTTATTTTAAATTCAAGCATTATCTTTTTGCAGTCACGTACACTTTGTGTAACAGAAAACCGCGATGAAAATTGATGAAAAATATTTAAATAAGAAAAATCCCACAAGAAATTTTCAATTTGTCAATTGTGAAACACAACTTCCAGGATTGATACTGTTGATTGATGTGGTCAACTGATGCTGGGAAATGTATTGCAGATTACCCTTGAAAATATCCCCAGATTCAATCTGCCAAGCAGAAGTATGACTGTGGAAGTCACTCAAGTGACTTTCCAAGACAACATAAGGTGAATTTGGCCCTTCAATGCAACATACAGTACAGTCAACCCCTGTCTAACGGACTTTATTTGTGCAAGGGACAAGTCTGTTAGACAAAAGTCCTTTACATGAATTCAATCACATAAAAATTGAAAATTTCAATTTTCAACACTAATTTTAAACCAAAAGAAGTCTGTTTGGTGGANTTTCAATTTTCAACACTAATTTTAAACCAAAAGAAGTCTGTTTGGTGGATTTTTTCTGTTGGGCAGGAGGAAAACTGCTTGCAGAGCTGGTCTGTTTGGCAAAAATCCCTCACACGGGAGGTCTGTTAGGCGGGGGGCCACTGTACTCTACTATTCGTCTATTTTCTTTCCATTCACTCATTTATCTGCACTTCAAAGATATGTACTGTATTCATAGTTCAGAGCCAAATGGGAATGGAATTTTTTGATCAACTAAAAATGGTATGTATTTCCAAAAATGGATGATTCCGCTTCATGTGCTTTGGCAATGTTCAAGTAAATTCCAAAACATGTGGAATTACAGATAACTTGCCTCAGCAGTATTTGGAGCAGCCTCATTAACAGTTTGAAAGCTATGGTCATCAACTTGCATATACAGGTACAGTGAGACCCCCACATGCGGAGTTTTGGACACTCAACCTGCAGACAATGTGACATAGGAACATTTTGATTTAAAATTGCAAATACATTTCAGGCCAAATTACAAGAAACAGCAGATATTTCCAACCCTAAAATTGATGCAAGAAAAGTTCTTGGACATTCATCTCACCAATTTACCATTCATTCAGCTAATTCAAAAAATTACCTCCAGCATAGAGGGACTTCCTTCTCTGCTCTTTTTCACTTGGATGTTATTTTTACAGAGAATGCCAACATTTCTACTTATTGTACTGAGCTATCAGTATTCAATTCCACAAATGTCCATATTGTGATGAAATATATTGATTGAAATCAGTTTAACCCTTGGGCGGCTAAGTCGGACTTTTTTTGCAAAAATTGGGTGCACCCCAGGCGGAAAAAGAAAAAAAGGAAGACAGTGTGCGGAGGGCGAAGCCAGGAAAAATCCTGGCATTTTTTTCATTTGCGCAGAAAAGTTTTGCCTGAAAATAAAAAAAATGCTCCTTCAAGTTTTTTTTTCTTTTTCCCCTGCTGCTGGGCTTCTCAGACCTGAAGATCCTGGCCAAAACAAATCACATGAGGTGGATCAAGCCACGTATAAATGGGTAATTCAGACTAAAAATTCCACAGCTTTTCCAAAAGGGTGACAAATCCTCTTAATTTTTTTCACCTTCTGCATGTGCACCAGAAATCCCTACTTTCATTGAAAAAGGATGTTTGGAACAAGAACCTTGAGAATCACTCTGAAGAAGGTTTAGAAAGCCTGGGAAAAATTAGCTCTGGGGAATAAGCTGAAGTGGAACAAATTATTAGAATTTTTCACAGTGTCTGGCATCAAAAGCTCATGAAAAGGTCCCAACAAATTGAAAACATTTAAAAGTAAATATACCTTGAGGCTTCAAGCTGGAGCCTCAAGATAGCTGGGAGGATGAGGTCAGAACTGTGAAAGTTGGAAAAAGTCCGACTTCGGACAATTGCAGCAACTGCCTTTTCACGCATAAACCCTGACTTTGCCTCACCTGACCTGGGGGCATTTTTCTGACCTTCAGAAAACCAAAAACGCGGGAGCACACGGAAAAATCCCACTCCGTCCCGCAATGGAAAGGACCCTTCCGCCGTCCGAGGGTTAAATTGGGAGACAATTTTTATTTTCATGGAATTATGGTTAGTATTTTGTACATGAAACACCAATGAAAATTATATAATGTAAGTCTAAGGGAAAATGAGATTCAACTTGGGGACATTTCAACTTGGGGACACTCTTGATGCACCAATTACGTCCGCATCTTGGGGTCTCACTGTATATGCAGAAAATTTTAATAAGCAGTCAAAACTCTCAAAAGAAAAGCCTTCTCCAAATTTGCTGACCATTCAGCACAAGGCCGTATGAGGTTCAGAAGAACCCTTTGTCTACGCAAAATTCTTTTCCCTACTGATTTTTTTGCCCAAATAAAGGAGAGAATACTGTATTATGAAATGCTTTTTCAAAGTTTCAGTCTATTCCTGATTTGCTGATCCAAGCAGTTCGGATCACGCTTTCAAATCTCTCTTCCCTGCAGATTCATATGAATGTACTGAACAATGAATTAATTGCATATAAAATAGTGATTTGAATGAATTTTGCAGTCTGGACCATTTTATGCGCGTGAGAAACTGAGAATGCATTGAAATTTGAATAATGGTCTGACTAATATTTACGCAATTTCGATCCTTTTTACCAGCAAAAACATAGCAACGAAATCGAGTCTAACTTGACTTGTAAGTGTTGCGAACTGAATTTTAATCCCGGAACCACTGTTTTCAAAATACTGTCAATTCGGAAAAAGGTCTTGAAATTCATGTCGTAATAATAATTTCAATTGGGATTTTTTTTAAACACTACAGTATTTGGAAATGCTTTTCCGCGCGATGTTCCTCATTATTCACTATTCACTCATTTCCCCTTTTCGGCGGAAAACACCGGCACCTGTCCGAAAATGCGAAACGAGGTACAATTTGATGAATACGTGTTTCAAACACTATATAATGCCGTATCCGTTTTTCCGTCGTTCCATATATGACGATAGCCAAAAGAAAAAAATACACACACACAAAAAAAAACAGCAAGTTAGCTAGGAAGAAGAAAAACTTCCTCGAACACTGCAGAAACTATTGTGCAATCAGAAATGAAAACAGGGGGATTCCATCGAATTCATTACATGCTGACGTACGAATCCAACAGACAAACGGCAACTGTCAGTAGTCACGCAGAAAATTGAGCGGCCAAACGAGAGATTGACGTCTGTTGACGCTTGGGTCGGTATAGAGTGATTTTTCCCCTCACTCGACGGAATACGTGTTACTGTCAGAATACTGCACAATTGTTGTGTATACCTTTGTTTTGTCACGTTCCGTGTACCCGTCATGCATGTCTCAAAACATTGTACATTTTCTTTTGATCATGCGTCATCGTTATCATATAAGCAGAATATACATGCACTAGCACTAGCAGTATTATATGCACTATACATCAAGTGCAATTAGTAAGAAGTGAAATTATAGTTTCTCATTTCCCTTTTTAAACAGATCTAAATTAAAGTACTTATTTTTTTTTACTTTTCTCTTTCCTGCGTCAAACAATAGGCCTCCAGGACATTTGAGTTATATGGAGGTTTGAGGGGGAAAGCCTTCAAGTAAGGAATGCTTTTAATTCATTGTATCTAAGGGGGGGGGGAGATTTTGAAAGGGACTCGCAATAAATCAACACAGGGAAGTATTTGACTTTAGTAGGCCTCAACGAGTTATTATGGAGGTTCTACTGTATAAAAATTCTTTAAAAACATTAGATGAATAAGAGGCATCAGGGCTCTAATCCCCGGGGCTTTGAACCTATATAAGGGTTCTGAAATATCGCGGGGGCCATGGAGGTAAAGAGTGCAGAAGGAAAAATCCCGGAAATCATCTAAACTATAGTGTTAACTTGCCATTGAAAAAGTTTTTTTCTGGGCCACCAATCGTACAATACTAACAAGAGTAATAATAATATACCATGATTTCATCAGGTTATTTCACATTCATAAAACCATAATCCTTCATGATTCTTCCTTCCTTGAGTATTTCACCATGAAGGGTTAGTTTACACTTCACACTATACAGATCACAATACTGTATTGTTTTTGTTCTGTATTTGGCGCATCAATTTTCCACCATTCACTGATCATAAATATTTCCAAGGAGAACTTTTATCAAATGGCACAATAAACACTCTTTCCCCGCACCCAAAAATGCCAGTTGCTACAATTTGTATGTGTACTGAATACAAAGTATAAATGAATGAATAAAAAGGAACATGCTGCACGTAGAATCTCGTCACCATCAGTAGTCACGACGCATCTCCCAGCAACAATTTCTCGTTCGTTGCGAAATTGTTCTCTTTTTTTGTGTCAGTACTACATATCGATCGCCGCAGTGTGTATTGAATCTTCATCAGATAGCAATAGTTTTGTTTAAATGAACAGATTTTCCTTGTCCGCAAAAGGGAATTATACAGATTTGAACAACATCATGAAGGTGACAAAATAAATCACTTGAAACACTTAGCTATATTGCGAATGGAAGAAACTATTGCTGTGAAGCAGACGGCACCACACTGACACTCTGACACAAAAATCGAGGATGCACAAATCTAGTACAACGCAGGAAAATCACAAGTAAATAAGTGAGCGTCCCACATTATTCAGGAACACCATGGTTCGGGCGGTGCTGTGCAAGTCGACGAATTTAATTCCTGGAGTACTGATGTTTTGTATGTACCGGTACTTCGTCATACTTTTCAACACTTTGTGGTGGTGATTATACTCGTATTTATACTTAAGTATGACGCGCACACTTTTTCTTTCAAAAATCAAGTAGGGAAAAGATGACGCGTTTCATAAGCAGGTCCTATACTTGATTTTTGAAAAAAAGTACATTTCCACCAGTAACTTTTTTTTACACGTTCCAAGAATCGTTTTGAACTCACTAGTGGGGGTTTCCTTGTTGAAAACAATTAACTTATACCCAACCCGGCGTTGATATTAAGACACAAAAACTGACCCCTGCTGGGCGCCTCCTATATGCCACCCGCATGGAATGAATTTGAGTCATGTATGCAGTGGCGGCCTTAGGGTGGGGCGAGAGGGGCGGCTGCCCCAGGCCCCGCGCTTGAGGGGGCCCCGCACTTGAGGAGGGCTCCGCTGTCTGGTGGTTCTGAAAATTGGCTGTCCCCTTAAATTTTTTTT